CTCAAAAAAAAAAAAAAAAAGCGAAAAGTCACTCCCAGGGGAATGGCTACACCACAGTACCTTCTGGGATTTGGGGCATGCATGCACATGTGCCTGGCATGAGTTGTTTTTTGTTTTTTTTTTTCTTTCATTTATATTTTTGCTATAGGACGCTTGCACTCACCAGAAAGACAGACAGACAAAAAGTGAGAAATCATCCCCCGGGGAGATGACCACACTGCAAAGCCTTCTCCATTCTCTCAGGATCTTGGACACACGCGCCCAACATGCCTTTAAGCCACCAAGTCGGGGACTTGAGCCGCTGTCAACTACATGGGAGTCCAGCCACATAGCCATTATGCCACTTGCTGGTCCCGACCTGGCCTGAACTTTAAGCCGCTGGGTCCAGGACTTGGACCGTGGTCAACTACGTGGGAGTCCAGTGACGTAACCGTTATGCCATCTGCTGGTCCCAAGGGATGAGAATTTAATGCATTGCACCGAGTTTAGGATACACCTATCAAAGCCAAGTATCTGAGGACCCAGAGACAGGAAGTCAGGGAGGGTCTCGGGAGTGGGTTTTGGAGTGGAGTTTAACTACTGTGCCTGTGCCGTGGAGGGATGTAACCTGACAGTGGGTGTGCAAGTAGCACGCTCAGTGTATTAAGCCTTGTTCTGTTGCGTTGTTGGAAAAGTCATGAAGTATTTTTCTGTTTTTCTGTGCAAAAATGTGTCCTCCTGACTTTTCAGCACCCCTGTTAAGCACTTTGTATTACTAACATGTACACTAACTGTGTAGTCCTCGGTGTAGACACCAAGGACTCAGGAGCCAGACCACCTGAGTTAGAACCCTGAATCCCTCTCTCACCAGCGTGGCTGAGCTACTTAACTGTGCTCAGTTTCCTTATCTATAAAAACGTGGGTTGGGGACTAGCAGGTGGCGTGGTAGCTAAGGCGCTGGAAACTCCCACATGGCCGACTGTGGTTCGAGTACTGGACCTGGTGGCTTGCTTTCTCGCTTTCCCTCTTTCTCTCTGTCTCTCTCTGTGTGTGGTGTGTGTATCTCGCTGGTCAAATTAAAATAAACGAACGAGTAAATAAAATTAAATAATATTGTTGTAAAAATTAGAAATCAGTTGTACACAGTAAGTGTTATTTCTCAGAAATAATCTTTTAAACCCCCCAATTTTATAGTTAAGGAAACTATGCAGAGATGATGCCTAATTTGCACCAGGCCACAATAAGTGGGGGAGCCAGAAGTTGAACCTTGGCAGCCGGACTTGTTTTTTGGAAGAATTATTTTATTTAACTATTTATTTATTTTAATTTAACCAGAGATGGACAGAGAGAAAGAGAAAGTGAGAAAGCAAGCTGCCAGGTCCAGGACTTGAACCTCAGTCAGCCACGTGGGATTCCAGCTCCCTTAACCACCACCACCTGCCAGCCCCAGCAGTCTGCCTTCGAGGCTTGTGCTCTTGATCTTTATGATAAACTTTACGGAAGGAGACAGTTGAGCGTCTTGGGAGGAGATTGGTGAGCTGAGCCTTCCTGGAGAAGTTACCAGTCAGAGGGGGCGGGCCAGAAGTGGCGTGACAGGAGCTCTGTGGGCACTAGGAGGAGGCACAGACGCTGGTCTGAGAGGGCGGCCGGGCGGTTAGGCGTTATTGGTACGTGGAGTGGGAGGTCGGTGATGACAGGACGTAAGGTGGGGCTGGCAGGAGCCAGGCGGGCGGGAACTCGCTGCTGCCGGAATGATAGCTCATTTTATCTCTGGAAGAGGTAGGCTGAGGTCGAGGCGGGAGAGCAGTTGGCAGGGGATCGCGATGGTACTACAGGGAGATCGCAGACCCAACCTGGGGCTACCAGCGACGCTTTGGAAAGAGGGAGCAGAGCGGAGAAATATGGGAGGTGAAATTGACAACAAGCATAATTCCAGTTCAGGAACTCAGTGGAATTGAAAATATAATGAAAACTTTTTCTTTTTTTTTGAGAACGTACTGAGTTTAAGTATGGCCGGCAGAAATGTGAAGAGTCTGTAGTTGGGTTAAAATTCCGGACTGAAGGTGAAGGTCAGGGAGTGAAATCGTGAGAGCTGGCAGTTCTGACCCTGGCACACGAGACGGGGAGAGGCAGTGATTTAGAGTAAGATCGGAGTAGAGCAGTCATTACACTCAGGAGTATTGGCCCAAACCACGTTGTCCTTTAGTCCCTCACGTTTTCACCCAGTGAGAGAGTGCGCGTGCCGGGCACTTGCTCGGCTCTGACTCTCCGGATGCCGCAGCAGTGACCGAGACTCCTTCCCCGCAATCGGCGGGTGGGTGACAGGTTCGCCCGAATGTCCAGTCCAGAGCATGCTGCAAATGTCTGTGACTCTTTGAAGCTTGAGTTAATGACACAGCCAGGTCTGGCTGCTGTTTTCTGTTGCCTTTGTTGAAAGTTTACAGGGAGGGCGGACATGCTTGCTTTGCTTTTCAAAATAATCTCAAAAAACAAAAAAACAAAAACTCTTTTTTTGTTTGTTTGTTTGTTTTGGAGGTTTTTGCCTTAGGCCGGTGGGGCTTGTTGGGCGGAGGGGTGGGAACAGAGACTGACTGAGAGGTAAAGTGAGAAATCACCCCTGGTGGGGGTGGCCACATGGCAGTCCCGTCTCCATTCTCCTTCCGGGATCTTGGGCATGACACGCGTGTTTCAAGCCACCGATCTGGTACTCAAACCATGGCTGGCCGTGTGGGAGTCAGCGACATTGCGGCCGCATGACGGCCACTTCCCCGGGCCCGGGGCAGGATCTTTTTTTTTTTTTTTTTTTTTTTTAAGAACTAAGAAATGTTTGAAATAAAAACGGCTGATGAGGTTGCCCTAAAATTTCTTTATTCTTAATAGAGTCATTCAGATAATTACTGTATCAACATTTGGATTTTTCCATGAGACACTACCTGAAAGTCGGGAGCACGTGTTAGAAAATCCGGCTTTCCTCCCTTCTCTCTACCCCAGTGTGATGCTGTAGGGCCTTTCTAGTGGATCTCAGTAACTAGCCTGTTTACGGGGAGAGGAGAGTGGACCGGGAGCAGAGTGGAGGAGGAGTAGGGTCCCTGGGCTTTCCGGACAGGCTGTGCCATCACTGCCTTTCGTGTGTGGCAGTTACAGATGGAGGTGGTGGAGCAGCGCCGGCATGGCTGAAGGGCCGCTTTCCAGCTAGAGACGAGCGTTGCATGGAGTTCGAGGCCGTGAGGAGGTGCTGAGGAAAGACGGGCGGGCGCCGAGGAGAGGCCCGTCCAGTGAGAGACCAGGGTGCAGTGAGCTGCCCGTGGGGCCGTGGGCTGCCGTGGGGCCGTGCCGTGGGGCCGTGGGCTGCCGTGGGGCCGTGGGCTGCCGTGGGGCCGTGGGCTGCCCGTGGGGCTGTGAGCTGCTTCATGAGGTGCTCTTGCTCAGGACGCTGCCGGAGGTGCCTGCTGTGGGTGGGAAACGCACTTCCTGCGCCCACTCCGTGCAGCCCTCTTTGGATGCTGAGACTTGTACTGCTCCTCCCCAGGGGTTTGGGCATACCCCAGTCTGTCTGCTGAACTCCACTCGTATTTTCAAGTCAGTCTCACACAGCGCAGTTTCATAATGAATGAAGAAATTTAGCTGGGTTTTAAGCTCTTCAAAGGCAGGAATAATGTAAATATTTTAAAATCTTTCAGGGGCTGGCTTTATGCTAAGAACTCTTGTCGATTGATTAATCATATCGAGCTCTTGATTTCTATCACTTTTGTTCAGAGATAACGATTTTCAGTTATATTGCTTTACAAAACAAAAGATGTCTTTATTTAGGAAGCGAAACATTTTCATGACATTAATTTTGTTCTTTAAAAATTTTCATTGATATAAAGTTGAGAGAACAATATAATTTCAATTTTCAGCTTTCACCAGCAACTGAAAAAAAAATCCTTGTTTAATTTTTAAAGTAAGAGTTATCTGTAGAAAACTACAGTAAACCAGGGAGCTCTTGAGTTTGATGAAAACGTTTTAGAAGTATTAGGGTCTTTATTAAATAAGCTTAAGTTCTTGAAGGGTTTAAAGATGATGGCTTTATTTTATTTTATTTTTAGAGAGATTTTTGCTATAAGGCTTGTGCACTCGGAAAGACAAGACAGCAAGAAATCAGCCCCCAGGGGGAGGGCCAGGCCACAGTCCCTTCTCCAGTCTCCTCTTGGGATTCTGACCATGTATGCACATGCTTCTTGCATGAGTTTCAAGCTGCCAGGTCTGGGATTTGAACAGCAGTCGGCCATGTGGGAGTCCAGCAATGTAACTCCTATGCCATCTGCCGATCCCTAAAAATAATAGCTTTAAAAGAGTCCAGTTAAGGCCGGCCAGTAGTGTGGTAGTTAAGATGACCAGATCCCACATAGCTGACTGTGGTTAGAGCCCCAGACCCAATAGCTTGAGAAACACACCAAGCAGGAGTACATGTGTGCTTCAAATCCCGAGAGAAGACCTGGAGGAGAAGGCATTGTGGTGGGACCATCCCCCATGGGAGGTGCTTTCTCACTTTCCCTCTCTTCTCTCTTGTTCACTGTGTCCCCAGCAAGTCTATGTGCCCTCTGGCAAATTAAAAAAATATATATTAAAAAATAGTTCAGTTAGCATCATCTATAGTGTCACTGAAAATTCATTTCTTGCTTAGACAGTTTTAGAATGTGGGTACCTGTAGCAGTTCATTACAGTAATGTAAGTGAACCAGCTAAACGTCTCAAATTCTGAATGCCGTAGGATAATACAGGTTGAATAGCTGCTTTCTATAATACTTGGGACTGGAAGTGTTTGGGATTTTGAAATATTTGTATATATGTAATATAGAATGAGATATCTTATAGACGAGACCCACGTCCAAACATAAAGTTTAGTTGTGTTCATATATACCTCATATACGTAGCCTGAAGGTAGTTTTCCACACTAATTTTGCATTGCACGGTTTTGAGTGTGAATTATTATACAAGGTTAGGTAACTAATTTTCTATTTGTTGGTTTATGTCAGAACTCAAAAAGTTTTGGATTTTGTAGCATTTTGGCTTTCAGATTTTAAGACCTGAGATGTTCAATCTGTAATTTGATTTCTTAATTACAAATGTAGAGGATAAGGTAATTAATAACAAAGACTTTTTCATGAGGATTTGAAATAAAGTATATTTAAGACGGACTTAGATCACTCTAGCCCCTGACAGGAATTAAAGTTTTGACCTTACCAATCCATTTTCTCCAGAATCAGGACCCAATATGTCCTCGTAAGAGTGAGCCTTGGGATACCAGCAGATGGTGTAATGCCATGTCGCTGGACACCCACGTAGTTGACTGTGGTTCAAGTTCTGGACCTGGTGGCTTAAAACTCACTGGGTGCCCAAGATCCCGAGAGGAGGATGGAGGAGAAGATTGCGCTGTGGCCATCTCCCCTCAGGGATGATCTCGCTTTGTGTCTGCTGCTTTGGTGAGCACACACTCCCTATAGCAAAATCTCTCTTTCAGAAAAAAAAAGAGTCACCCTTGGTTCCCGTCTGCAGGGCTGGACGGAGTGGGCACAGGAAGTGCATTTTCCACCCACCCGAGTTCCTCATCAGTGGGATTTCACGTGTGGTACTCGCACACACGGTTGTTTTTTATAAACTAGGGTATAGAAAATAAGATTTACTGTAAAAAGGCTAATCTAATATGTTATGGGTCTTTAAAGTATTTATAAACTACTCTGTTTATTAAAACAAAACACTAGTGGTCCAGCAGGTAGCATACTGGATAAGGTGCTGGATTCCCATTTGGCTAACTGCAGTTCGAGTCCTGGACCCTGCAGCTTGAAAATCATGCCAGGTGTGCATGCGTGCCCAAAATCCTAAGAGGAGAATGGAGGAAAGGGGACTGGAGGAGAAGGGGTTGTGGCAGGACCATACCTGGAGAGGTTGACTTCTCACTTTCCCTCTCTCTGGCAAGCACATGCCCTATGACAAAAACCTAAAAAACAAGCAAGCCAAAAACTAGTTTTCTTAGAGGTGTTATTCATGTTATAAAAATATTTCCTGTAATCTCAAAAACATTTTCTTCCTGTACCATGACCTGCTTACAGCGATACAACTTTACTGTAACTTCTAGGTAAGATTCACCATGTGAAATGGGTCAAACTTAGCCTGGGTTCATAAACGTTAGTTTGCTGAGGTTAGTGACTCCGGAATCACTAAGTCGTTTCTGTTTATTTTTTTTTGGAGAGGTTTTTGCTGTAGGGCACGTGCGCTCGCCAGACAGACAGAGACAGAGAGACAGAAAGTGAGAAATCACTCCCCAGGGGGGATGGCCACGCCACAGTCCCTTCTCCTCCATTCTCCCCTCGGGATCTTGGGCATGCACGCACATGCGCCCAGCATGAGTTTAAGCCACCGGGTCCAGGACTCGAACCGTGGTCGACTACATGGGAGTCCAGTGACATAGCCATTACACTAACTGCTGGTCCCACTAAGTCGTTTCTTAATCTAGTATGATAATATCTTGTGGATTCTACAATAATCTAAAAATAACCATATTCTTATAAATTATTTATTTCAGAGCCCAGCGACTTAACTTTAAAAATTTACAGAGCAGAGTCATATGCTGGTCTTCAGGAGTTCAAAGCAGCCATAGAAGATTTAAATGCGGTTCTCTTTCAACTTCCAAACTGGCCTGAGGTAAAATTACTGTTTTACATTTGCATACATTTTTAAATTGCAGCATGCACAGGAAATACACATTCCATTATGGTTATGAGTTTTAACAAAATGGATGATTGACTCTAAATAAGATACACAGCATTCTAGAAATTTAGAGGAAATATTTTGAGTGCATGAATGTCATCTGACAGATTTTCTTTTTTTTTGAGAGTGTTTTTTTTTTTGCTATAGGGCTCGTGCGCTCGCCAGACAAGAGAGAGAGAGAGAGAGAGAAAGCGAGAAATCACCCCCCCAGGGGGGATGGCCACGCCGCAATCTCTTCTCCTCCATTCTCCTCTCGAGATCTTGGGCACGCACGCACACGCACCCGGTGTGAGTTTTAAGCCACCGGGTCCGGGACGCGAACCGTGGTCGACTACATGGGAGTCCAGCGACATAGCCATTACGCTAACTGGTCCCAATCTGACAGATTTTCAAATAAGGAGCCTGTGTTCTCTAACTGAAGAACAGACTGGATTCATGTCCCTGAAACACAAAGGACATTATCATACAAAATTTCTGCAAAGAAATATAACTTGCCACATTGTGAAGATGGGTCCAAACTGGAGTTTATCGAAGGAAGTTCTTTTAATAGAGGTGCGGTTTTGAAGCTGGGGGTCGTCTGCAGCATTATGATGATGCTGAGGCCATTAGGCAGGGCTGTAATAGAACAGCTGCGAGCAAAGGCGGTTGCCTTGCCCATCTGACTTTTTTTTTTAAGAATTATTTATTTATTTCCATTTATTATTGTCTTGTTTTTGTTTTTGTTTTCCCTTTATTTGATGAGAGAGAGGGAGAGAAAGGGAAAGTGAGAAAGCAAGCCACCAGGTCCAGGACCTGAACCATGGTTGGCCATGTGGGAATCCAGCGCCTTTATCCACCTCACCACCTGCTGGCCCCGCCCATCTGACTTTTAAAGAAGACTCGAACACAACACTTGATGACACAACCACACCAGGGGGTCCGGAGTTTGCACCCTGAGGCCCTCCTGTACGTGCAGGCGTGAACTCGGGCCCCCATCTTGGCTGGTTGAGTCAGGAGCGTAGCAGGAAGACTCTGGAGTACCTGTCTCTCCCTGTTTCTCTTTCGTAAATGATAAACATTAATAAGCTTTTAACCTGTGGGTTTTTTGGGACCAGCAGATGGCGTATGGTTACGTCTCCGGACTCTCACATAGTCGACCATGGCTCGAGTTCTGGACCTGCGGCTTGAAACTCATGCCATGTGCGTGCGCGTGAGTTTCCAGAATCCCGAGAGGAGAATGGAGGAGAAGGGATCGTAGCGTGGCCATCCCCCCGGGAGGTGATTTCTCGCTTTCTGTCTTTCTGGCGAGCACACACGCCCTATAGTAAAGATCTCAAAAATAAAAAGAATTTGGTGTTTTGGGGCTAGCACGTGGCAGGGTGGTTAAGGCTAGATTCCCACATAGCTGAATGCAGTTTGAGTCCTGGACCTCTAATGGCTTGAAAATCATGCTAGGCTCTTGTTGTGTGTATGTGCCCAAAATTCCAAAAGGAGATTGAAAGATTTCAGGATGACCATCCCTCCAGGGCATGATTTTTCACTTTCCCTCTCTGTCTCAGACTACACGCACCATATGGCAAAAACCTAAAAAAACAAAGAAAAAAAGCAAAGAAAAAAAGGTTTTCTTTAACATTTAAATGGGTATCAAAAACTGACTAGAACATTCTTTAGGTTCCTTTGGTATTATTTAATTCTAATGATCCAACACCTCTGTCATTCTAAACACATAAATCAGGCTCATTTAAAGCTTAGCAGTTAACACTTCATTGGTGGACAAATTGAATTTTTGGTTTATCAATTATTACTAGGATTCTAATGTTTGTCATAAAGCTTGCTGAACTCATAATATAAAGGAGAAAAATAAAAGACAACATAAGTATTTATGGATGTGTGAGGTCTATAAGTACTTTTTTATTTTTTTGAGAGATTTTTTTTTGCTATAGGATGAGTGCACTTGCCAGAAAGACGAAGAGAGAGGCAGAGAGACAGAAAGCGAGTAATCACCCCCCAGGGGGGATGGCCACGCTGCAATCCCTTCTCTATTCTCTCGGGATCTTGGGCACGCACGCACACGTGCCCAGCGTGAGTTTAAGCCACTGGGTCCAGGACTCAAACCGCGGTCGACTACATGGGAGTCCAGTGACATAGACATTGCATGGAATGCTGGTCCCTATAAGTACTTTCTTAACTATTAGCATAGACAAACTTACATCCCCAATAACCTGGAGGATACCATTTTGCATTTTGCCCTGCTTCTAAAGTAATTTTTTTTTTTTTTAAATAGGTTTGTGCTGTAGGGCACATGCACTTACTAGAGAGACAGAAAGCAAGAAATCTTCCCCCGGTTAAATGGCCACACCACAATCCCTTCTCCATTCTCCCCTCAGGATTTTGGGCACGCACGCATATACACCTGGTCTGAGTGTCAAGCCTCTGGGTCCGGAACTCGAGCTGCCATCTGCCATGTGGGGGTCCAGCGACGTAACCGTTACAGCATCTGCCGGTCCCCTAACGTGAATGTTTTACATTTTAATGTTTCTTTCATCTTGGCGCATCTCAATATCAGTATAATTTTACACATTATTTTCTTTTACCTTGAACAGCCGTTATTAAATTAAAAATCTCTGAATCAGTAACTTCTTCTTTTTAACATTCTTTTAAGTTTATTTCATGGAGAAACGGGCACATCCAGGCAGGGTCTGTTGTGCTGTGGTGACCACCCACAGCTTTCCTGAGCAGTCAGGAGCATGAGCACGCACACATCACGTGTACGCACACACACACTGCACACGCCTGGTTTGTTCCAGGTCTCCCTGGGCTCCAAACCGAGGTCTTCTAGGTGATCCCAGCCCTGCAGGGGCCGCCTACAGCCTGTGCCTCTGCGGCTCTGACTTGCTGTGGACTTGGTCTAGTGATCCTCCGGGCCTTAGTTGCCTTGGCTGGTGATTGCCCAGGTAGATGTTTTGGGAGCCAGCCGGATCTCCGCATGGCCAGCTGTGTGGTTTGAGCTCTGAATCTGGCAGCCTGAACAACATGCTGCTTGCATGTGTAAGCATGCCCAAAATCCCAGAGGGAGAAAGCAGAAGGGATTGCAGTGCGGCCTTCCCCCAGGGAGTGCTGTTTTAGTTTCTCTCTCTCTCTGTTCAGCAAGCACATGCACCCTATAGCAAATTTTAAAAATAATAAAATGTTTAAAATAAAATGCTTTGGTCTCCAGTAATTCAGACTTTCACAATCAGCATCTCTGGCAGACCGCTGCTTTACTCGACAATGGTGTATTTTAGATGGCTCTGTCTGTACAGGTTTTGTGTGCTTTATTGCAGGTCTACTTCAGGAAGGGAAAGGTGCTCCATGAGGCTGGGTTCCTCGGTGATGCCTTACAGCTCTTTCTTCAGTGCTTGACTCTGGATGAAGACTTTGCACCTGCAAAGTTACAAGTGGAAAAGGTAACCAGGGGCCGGCAGGAGGCGTGGGTTAAGGCGGCTGATCCACAGTGATTGTGCGGTTCCTGTTCCAGACCCTGCAGCTTGAAACCGGGAGGGCCACGCACATGTGTGCCCCAAATCTCAGGGAGAGAATGGTGGAGAAGGGAATGTGGCATGACCACCCCTGGGGCGATTTCTCACTTTCCCTCCCTCTCTGTCTCTCTCTGGGTAAGTGCACACAGCCTGTGGCAAACTGAAAAATAATAATAATAGTAACGAGTTTACCAACTTTAGTATTTTAAGGCGGCTAAGACAGATCTTCTTGAAAATGCTAATTAGAAAAATGGAATGAAAACATCAGAGGTGAATAAGTCTAACTAGGGAGTCGTTTGACAGGCATTTTCCATGTTTACGTACTTAGCGTTGAATTCCTAGTGAAATAGAAACGTCTCATCACAGATACTGCACGCAGTACCTTCGCCTAGTTAATGTGGGCGTTCTCCAGTCGTTTGTGAATTAACCTGAGCAAGGCTGGTGGTCTTTAAGCGAACATTGCTGTGCTCAGGTGTCTTTCTTGACCCCCCCCCTCGTGCCTTTTTCTTGAAATCCGAGCTTCGCTTCATCCCTGTGTTTGGCAGTAGGTGTTCACTAGTCGCTCATTTTGTTTTATTTTACTCTGTACTCGTGTGTCACTTTCCAGGGTCTGTCCTGTCTGTGGTATGTGGTGTAAAATTTAATAAGGAAAGAAAAAAAAGGAAGAGGGTTCTCTGATCACATAAATGACCTCGAGAAACCCTGACTTTAAATAACCCGAGCTTCTGAGGATTTTCGGTATGCAGCATTAAAAAAAAAATAGCTCTCAACTCTTGCAAACTTGCCTACCTGACATCTGGAAAGAGTAGCATCTCTGAAAAAGTCTCTGAGAAAAATCTCCCCTACTACAAATTCAGGGTCCTGTTCATTCAGGGTTCGTCCATATCCGTGGTGCTGTGTTATTTACCACACTGTCGAATTGGTTCTTAGAGTGTGGTTTTCTGTCAGAATCACTCAGAGTGAGTGTTAACAGATTCCCGGCCCGGGACCAGCAGTTGGCATAATGCCAATGTCGCTGGACTCCCATGTAGTCGACCGCAGTTCAAGTACCAGACACGGTAACTTAAACTCATGGGAATCGGGATCCATAGAATTGGGGCAATAGCTCAAGCTTTTGGGAAATCCGTATGTATCCTGAAGTACAAGAACTTTGAAATATTTCTCAGATCCCTACTTTTTTAAGACTGTAGCTAATGTTGGTAAATTCTGTATGAGTGTTTCCGCGTAAATTCTAGCCTACTGATACAACGAGATCGTGTCCTGCTGCACAGTTTCTTACTTTCCATGTTTGTTAGTGGTCTTTCCCTGGTGAGATGCAGACTTTTTTGGGGAAAGAATTATTTTTATTGAACTTTAATTAGTTAGTTAGTTTATTTTCATTTGACCAGAGAGGGACAGAGTGAGAGAGAGAGAGAGAGCGGGAAAATGAGAAAGCAAGCCACTGGGTCTGGGGCTCGAACTGTGGTCTGCCATGTGGGAGTCTAGCACTCTTTTTTTTTTGGAGAGGTTTTCGCTCTAGGGCGCACGCGCTTGCAGACAGACAGAGAGAGACAAAGAGACAGAAAGCGAGAAATCACCCCCCAGGGGGGATGGGTCACGCCGCAATCCCTTCTCCTCCATTCTCCTCTTGGGATCTTGGGCACGCACGCACACGCGCCCGGCGTGAGTTTTCAGCCACCGGGTCCGGGACATGAACCGTGGTCGACTACGTGGGAGTCCAGCGACATAGCCATTACGCTAACTGCTGGTTCCCATGGAGTCCAGCACTCTTAACCACCATGCCACCTGTTGGCCCCAAGACGCAGACATTTTAAGTTTATAATTTTGTATTCTCCATGTTTCTGGACATCCTGATATTTCTTTTCTGTTTTGGTTTTTTTTTTGAGAGATTTTTTTTTTTCTTCTTCTTTTTGCTATAGGGCATGTGCACTTGCTAGAGAGACAGTAAGCGAGAAATCACCCCCTGGGGGGATGGCCACACTGTAGTCCCTTCTCTTCCATTCTGCTGGACTCCCATGTAGTCGACCGCAGTTCAAGTACCAGACACGGTAACTTAAACTCATGGGAATCGGGATCCATAGAATTGGGGCAATAGCTCAAGCTTTTGGGAAATCCGTATGTATCCTGAAGTACAAGAACTTTGAAATATTTCTCAGATCCCTACTTTTTTAAGACTGTAGCTAATGTTGGTAAATTCTGTATGAGTGTTTCCGCGTAAATTCTAGCCTACTGATACAACGAGATCGTGTCCTGCTGCACAGTTTCTTACTTTCCATGTTTGTTAGTGGTCTTTCCCTGGTGAGATGCAGACTTTTTTGGGGAAAGAATTATTTTTATTGAACTTTAATTAGTTAGTTAGTTTATTTTCATTTGACCAGAGAGGGACAGAGTGAGAGAGAGAGAGAGAGCGGGAAAATGAGAAAGCAAGCCACTGGGTCTGGGGCTCGAACTGTGGTCTGCCATGTGGGAGTCTAGCACTCTTTTTTTTTTGGAGAGGTTTTCGCTCTAGGGCGCACGCGCTTGCAGACAGACAGAGAGAGACAAAGAGACAGAAAGCGAGAAATCACCCCCCAGGGGGGATGGGTCACGCCGCAATCCCTTCTCCTCCATTCTCCTCTTGGGATCTTGGGCACGCACGCACACGCGCCCGGCGTGAGTTTTCAGCCACCGGGTCCGGGACATGAACCGTGGTCGACTACGTGGGAGTCCAGCGACATAGCCATTACGCTAACTGCTGGTTCCCATGGAGTCCAGCACTCTTAACCACCATGCCACCTGTTGGCCCCAAGACGCAGACATTTTAAGTTTATAATTTTGTATTCTCCATGTTTCTGGACATCCTGATATTTCTTTTCTGTTTTGGTTTTTTTTTTGAGAGATTTTTTTTTTTCTTCTTCTTTTTGCTATAGGGCATGTGCACTTGCTAGAGAGACAGTAAGCGAGAAATCACCCCCTGGGGGGATGGCCACACTGTAGTCCCTTCTCTTCCATTCTTCTCTTGGGGTCTTAGGCACGCACACACACGTGTCTGGCGTGAGTTTAAGCCACCAAGTCTGGGACTCGAACTGCGGTCGACTACATGGGAGTCCAGTGACATAGCCATTGTGCCAACTGCTGGTCCCGGCATCCTGATATTTCTATGACTCTTGTTTACTGGTTGAAATGGGTCATGTGAAGTGAAGTAAAACAAATGATGTTTTAAATATTTTGGTTTTCCCCAGTAAATTTTTTTTTTTTTAATTGCAAGGGAGTGCTCATAAGAGAGAGGAGAGAGGCAAAGCACCCCCAGTGAACTGTGTCCTTACCACAATCCCCACAGCCCCTTCTCCAGTTCTTCATCCTGTTGGTGTTTGGGGCACATGCACGCCCAGCCTGTTTTTCAGGCCTCCCAAGGCTGAGATTTGAACAACTTAGTTGGCCATGTGGGGTCTGGCTTTCTTAACCACTGGGCGATGGTATTGGTACTGGCCTTTCAGTGAGCTTTTCAAATTTAATTTAATTGATTAAGTATTACTATTTTTAAATTAATGTATTTTTGCTATAGGGCACAGTGTGTCCACAATTTAAATACGGAGAGAGAGAAAGTGAGAAAGAAAGCCGCTGGGTCCAGGACTCAAATTGTGGTTGACCATGTGTGAGCCCAGTGTCAGACCACCTCGCCTCCTGCCGGCCCCCTCTGTAAGCTTTTCAACTGCGGTGTACAGGTTGAGCATTCCTAACCCGAATGATAGGCTCCAAAATCCAACTTTCTGAGCACTGGCTTGACACCACAAGTAGAAAATTCCACACCTGACCTCACGTGACAGTCACAGTCTATAAACGCTGCAAACCAGCGTGTTGTATGGAGGTGCCGCCAGGCCGTGTGTATAAGGTGTTTATGAACTGCAACTGAACTTCATGTGTGCACGTAAGTCTCCTCCTCGAGGTATTTCATTATGTACTGGGTCATCGGCAAAGTCATGACATGTTTTTGCGTAGAAAACAGAAATATGCCACGACTTTCCTGACGGCCTAATGTGTCTTGTGTGGTCCCAGGTATTTCAGACGGGGAGTATCGGCCTCTAGTTTACATTTAATAGAATGCATGGATTTGATAGTCAGATGCGTTTGAGAGATGGAAGAGTGCCTCACTGGGAAGAGAGGGTATTCTCATCACCCCAGAGTGTCTACCCGCTTCCCCGCGAGCCCGGCACTCCCTCCTCCCGGAGGCTGCTGTCCTCATAGAGCAGTTTTGCCTGTTCAGAACTTGACATAAACAGAATCGTATAGTAGGTGCTCTCCTCTGCCTGTATTTCTTTCAACTGAACATTACTATTTTTGAACTATATCCAGTAACTTTTAATTGTTGACTAAATATTTTGTTATGTGATCCCACACTGCAGTTTATGTACAGACAAACCTAGAAACAATTTAAATGAAATCACCTGGTTTCATTTGAATTGCTTCTCGTTTTTGTTTTTGTCTTACTGTTACAGATAAAGCTGCTATGCACATTCTTGTCCAAGTCATTTGTAGACATGGATTTTCACATGTTCTCGACACATACTTGGGAGAGGAGTTGCTGGGTCTGGACTAGGTGTATCTTTAACACACTTTCTGTTAAATTTTCCGAGAGAATTTTTGCTTATAGGGCACGCGTGCTCACTAGAGAGACAGAGAGACAGAAAGGGAGAAATCACCCCCCTGAGGGTGTGGCCACGCTACAATCCCTTCTCCATCCTCCTCTTGGGATCTTGGGCACACACGCACACACCCCCAGTGTGAGTTTTAAGCCGCTGGGTCTGGGACTTGAACTATGGTCGACTGTGGAGTCCAGCGACGTCACCATTATGCCATCTATTGGTCCCCTTAACACAGTTTTTAAATCAGAGGAAATGTAAAATTATATGCAGATTTTTAAGTGTTTGGTTATTAAATAAGTGCCTGCCAAAGATGTCCTTTTGTTTATATTGTGTATTTCTGCATAATGATTTGGGAGTTATTCTGATTTTTGTATATTTGAGAGAGTACAACTGAAAAATGGAACTTCCAGATTTAGGCTTTAAGAAATGCTCTGAGGGGCCAGCAGATGGCGAGATAGCTAGGGGCGACTCACATGACCGACCGCAGTTCGAGTCCTGGACCTAGCAGCTTGCTTTCTCACTTTCTGTGTCCCTTTCTCTCTCTCTCTCTCTCCCTCTCTCTGGTCAAAAGAAAGAAAGGCAGAAAGAAAAAAATAAGTATTATTTTTTAAAAAGAAAGAAAAAAAAGAGATGCTCTGTTGAGCCAGCAGGTGGCATGGTGGTTAAGGCTGTTGGGTCTCACATAGCCATCTGCACAGTTTGAGTCCCGAACCCGGCAGCTTAAAAAATATGCTGGGTACATGTGCGCACATGCCCAGAATCCCAAGAGGAGAATGGAGGAGAAACTGGCATGGCCATCTGCCCAGAGGGTGCTTCTCACTTTTACTCCCTCTCCCAGCCTCTCCCCAGCAAGCACACGAGCCCTATGGCAAATTCCAGAAGAAGCACTCTGTTGTACATTGAAATACAGCTTTGACAGCTCAGAAAATCAGAATCCCTCATTTTCTGCTAGCCAGATGCTTCCCGTTTCCTCGGAGTTTTAGGTGCGTTACTGATGTCAGTACCCAGAGATCGATTCTCTAGGCGTCTTTCAATTTAACTCCCAGCTCTTAAGGGGAAGCTTCCCTTTCGGTGCTGCCAGTAACGTGCTAAGCAGCAGGTTAGTTGTTTAGCAGGAAACTAAATGCAGGGGCTTTTAGGGTTTCCTAGGTAGAGATCCGAGTTCTTGGTCACGTACATACTCTAAGGCCACCGTAGGGTTTACTGTTGGTGTTGACAGAACAGGGCTCACCAGTCCTAGAGGAGAATGTTTCCTACTTCTCCTAGGGCCTCTTTCTTGTATACTCTTGTATGATTAGGTTTATCTTTTATGTTGCCACCGTCTCGGGTCGCCAGCCTAATCCTCCCAAGCCCACCTTTCAACATTTTGAATTGTTTCTTTGAGGAGATTTAACCTCATTGAGGCAGATGTGGGGTGTGACAAAACTTTCTGATTTATTGCATTATTTAATCTGTTTCTCCCCTGCTCGTTAAAACAGTGTGGTACAAACTTTCTAAAGATTCTTACATATTAAGTACATTTATATGAACTGGTTCTTAAAGAAATATTTTCCATTTTCCATTACTTTTATTATATTTCTTTTACAGATTTTATGTGATTTATTGTCACCTGAAAACTTAAAAGAAGGTCTAAAGGAGCCTTCCTGGAGTTCATTACCGTGCATTAAGAACAAGCCTTTTGGTTTTCCTTCAGTAATGGAAGAGTCTCACGCCCCCGGTGATCTTAGCCCAAAGCAGGTGAGTGCTGAGAAGAGGTGAGCCTGGGGTTAGCAGACCTGTGTCTGTCCAGCCAGAGCTTCACTTTCCTAGCTACAGGTGCTAGAACTTACTTGAGTAGCTTTACCCAGTTTAGTTGTCTTAGTACGATTTTGTCTATAGCCTTGGATTTGACTCTGAAATCTTTTATGTAAAATACTTGCTCACCAATCACAAGTTTAGGTCATCTGATGTCAGAAGGCATATTCCTGTAGTATGTACGACATTATATTTTAGTGTCCTGAGGATAGGGACTACTATATTAGCACAATTGCTTGAAGCCTCATTGTAATGTAAGTCATTGGGTACCTGTGAGTTTGTCAATGCTGGCTAAAAATTATTTGCTTGCCAAAGATTTGGAGTTAAAAGTTAGTACTGCCAAGTGTCAGTTAAAATAGACTTTGTAAGACATTGAAATTTTATTTCAGTTTGACTCTTGGAGAAAGGTGGAGAGGAGAGGAAAGAAATGCAGTTACCTTTGTTGATCGTACCTTTGTAGAATGAAGCCGTACCAGAGGTCACGTCCGAGCCTGTCAAGGGAAGCCTGAGCCGCGCTCGGTCAGCACAGGCCATCAATTCAGGTGACGCGCCCGCCAGAGAGGACTGTCTGAAGAGAGTGGCCTCAGCACCTTTACTCTCCGTGCAAGAGAAAGGGGTTCTGCTGAAACGGAAGCTGTACCTCTTAGAGCAGGATGTGGTTCTAGGTGAAGATGGCAGGAGTAAACTGAAAAGACAAGGAGGTGAGAACTCCTGTACCCCACATGAAGAGATGGTTTGTTCAGAATGGCCTTTCCGCATTTAAATGAGAAAAAACCCTTTTTCTTTGCTTTATAGAGACTTCCAGTGAAGTCTGTATGTTCTCCTTTGCCGATGGCGACATCCCAGAAGAATTGATAGATGTCTCCGATTTTGAGTGTTCTCTCTGCATGAGGTAAGCATGTGAAATGTTATAGAAGACGAGTATTTTGTGGCACCAGCAGGTGGCATGGTGGTTAAAGGCTCTGGACTCCCATGTGGCCGATGGCGGTTCGAGTCCCAAATCTGGTGGCTTGCTTTCACACTTCTCTCTCTCTCTCTCTTTCTCTCCCTCTCTCCCTCTCTCCCTCTCTCCCTCCCCCCCTGCCCCCCCCCCTCCCTCCCTCTCTCCTTCTCTGGTCAAATTAAAAATGAATAAACAGGGAACCAGCAGTTAGCATAATGGCTATGTCTCTGGACTCCCACTTAGTCGACCACGGTTTGTGTCACGGACACGGTGGCTTAAAAAAAACTCATGCCAGGCGCGTGTGCATGCGTGCCCAAGATCCCGAGAGGAGAATGGAGGAGAAGGGATTGCGGTGTGACCATCCCCCCTGGGGGGTGATTTCTCGCTTTCTGTCTCTATGTCTCT